AAGAGTTACAGTTCCATGAAAAGAATTCAATCAATGTCTTCACTAATTCTGTGAATATAGTAGGTCAAATTCAACAGAAATAATGTTGTCACAGAGAGCATCAGGGATCCCTGAACCCACTTACTCCCTGGCAGTTCCTGGGCAAGGAACACATCAGATCTCAAGTTTATTCTGAGTTTCAAAGCCACCCAGTTGCCTCCAAACACTTGTTCTGTATGGGCTTTGAGCATCTCCTACCTTGGGAAGAGGGTAGCTTGCTGTTCATTGGAACTAATTTGTATTGAGCTCTGATTTCTTGTTTGCCTTATTTCCCACCAGTACAAAAATTTCTTCTCATCACGCAGAAGTGTGAGAAGGCAAGACGAACAAAGGATCAGAAGGTGACAGAGAGGAAGGAGAACAAAGTGGCAGTAATAATAGGTTATTTTGGTAGTGCCTGTCTGTATGCATGGTTCATACACAGTGAAGTGGTCACTTTAGTAGATGGGACTTCTGCTTACCAGGCAGCAATTTCTTTACAGATTTCTATAGGTGAGATAACAGGATGGGTTATAAGGTGAGAGTAAGAAGAAGGTGGTGCAGGGGCTGTGTGGAGGTGGGCACTTACAGAGAACGGAAATGTTTGGGGAGGAATGGGAGAAAAGGGTAGTGAGGCTGCTCTCTGTGAATACGGGTGAGGGGTCCCTTTGGGAAAGAGTGAACTGAGAAGGGCTTTGAAGGTGAGGGCAGAAGGATTGTGTTTGTGGAGAGGGGTGCCAGCATGGGATGGTTTGAATGGAGGTGAGAGACAGGCAGTGATGAGGCAGGAGCAGACCTCAGCTGCACTATAAATGGGTTGAACAGAGTTGAACAGGGAGTAGCTAATCCTGACAGAAAGTGGGGGAAGGATTCAAAGGTGTGCATGGCTTAGTAGAGACCACTGGCAGAGTGGTCAGCAAAGAAAAATGAGGCAGAGTAAGCTTTCCGTGTGTGCAGTTATTCCAGCACAGGGTCATCAGATGAATAACTCTTGTTAACATCTTCTGGGTGCGGCAAGAAGAAACTTCACCAACTTCCCTCATAGGCTGTAATCTGTTTTCCAATGAGTGGAGGGAAAATGTGAAGAGTTCAGAGCTCTTTTTGCCCCAAAAAGACTGTGTAAGAACAGCCACTGAAGGGTTCATGGTCTGTTTTCTAACAGACCATCAGCTTTACTCTGTGATCTAGCTTGTAGTAGAAAGATCCAGTATAACTGCAAAGTGATGCAAACTTTTACAAGGTCTTCTTTAATAGCCCTTAACCTCTTTTCAGCAATTCTAGAAAGCCAACAGCCCAGTTGATGACATTTATACTCTACTTCTCTACCACTTGAGAGAGAAATGACAGTATTAACCTAGCCTTCCCTCCCCAAAGAGGTGACAGCTCCTTGTTTGATCTTATGTCTCCTGAGGCTGACAGCCTGTAAACTGGTTTTCCATCATTGAAGCGAATGGGAGCCAGAGGCTACAGCCACTACTCCATCACTTTAGAGGATGACCATTATAACCAGTTTTCAAGAGCAATATAACCTCCTTCAAGAGCATGACCTCCACCTCTTTGCTGTCTTTTCTATGTCTGAAGAAATGAGCTACCTTGGAAATTTGCATCCCAGCCTTTCAAGACAGGATAGTCCTTATTCTAATTTCCTTGTCTGTCTTTTAACCAAATAATCTATGGCAAAACACTTTAAAGTATTGTCTTCACTGTGGCAATGCACTGAATTATTGTTCTGCCCACACAGAGAAAAGAAGCAGCAAGTCAAAGATTTAGCAATTTGGCATTGATTTCTGTCACTTGGCAGCAGAATACTGTTGGTGTTGAGAGGCGGCTGCCCCCAGAGTGCCCAAAAAGGGGGGGAGCCTGTCATCTCCTGAGCTCTCTCCTCAGTCCCTCTCCTTCCACCATCTGTCTGTCAGCACACTTCATATATCCCCAAATATTATTTCTCACAGATTTTTAAAATGCTGAATTTTAAAGACTGTAAGTTCAGTCCCTACATGCACACACAAAAAAACCCAAAGAGAAAGCAACTCTGTGTGTGTGTGTATGTGTGTGCATGTATCTAAAGGGATTTCAGAGACAGAAATTACATTCTTACAAATTCATTACTGCTGCCAAACTTACTGTTTCTTCTGTTAAAGACCAGTTGGGGAAAAAAAACACTAAAAAGCATCTGTCGCAAAATGCAATGTCAGATGCTTCTGCCCATGATGGTCCAGGTTCTCTAGTGTCTCAGTTGCTGCTCTTCAAGTTGTTTCAGATGTGCTTGTTATATACAGCTAAAGATAGGACTTGTGGGCTTTTGCTCTGAGAGATTATTTAATATTTTATATAAAGTGTTTTTAAATTTTCCAAAGGTGTTTTGTCAACCCTGATTTGTTTGAATGTGACCAGGATGTATCACGTTTCCTGTAACTAAGAAGATGCTATGAGGTTAGTAGTGCAGATGTGCAGTGGGAAAAAGGCAGTTGTCTAGAATGACTTCCAGTGCAAACCAGGAGACCTCATCCAACTTCTCCCTCACGCTGAATGAGATACTACTTGAGTATGTGCTTGAGTCTAGACTGAAAAACATTAAATGTTTATTGGGCCTTCAACACTAAGTACCAGCATCTCAGTCGTAGGTATCTACAGCTTCTAAGTGGCCATAGCCATGTGCAGCCATCAGACTGTGCAGTCATCAGACTATGCCCCATACAGTCATTTAGGAAAGAGGTGGTCCCAAGAGTACTGAGTACAGATCTCAGCTCTAAGTTCTGTTACTGGGAGGAGAAACGAAATCTGTGGCAACTATGATCAAACACTATGCACAGCCAGGGCTGGTGCATCCCAGTCAGAAGATATTAGTCGCTGATATTTGTCACCAGCCGGTTCCCAGAGACAGCTTTAGCAAACCTCTTGGACTCCCAGGGTGGAGCCTCTAGGGTCATCCTCGTTTTCCTTCGCTCTTTCATGCCCTAAATGGTTAAATTATTCTGCTCATTGAGCCAGCTCACTGAAAGGATTCCGTTTGTTTGCAGCCTGAAACATTCGTACAGCTTTGTAGTAACATTTTGAGACAAATCATCCACAAGAACTTCAAGGTCATTCCCAAACGAAGAAATTATGTTCAGAGCAGTCCTTGGGGCCCCTGCCCAGACTCAGCACGGGGAGACGGGAGGTTGTGCTGGCAGGACAATGAAAGTCAATGGATTTCAGCCTGTGCACAGCTCCTCATTTGCCTTGATTTAAAGGTCCCAGTCTCAGTCCTTTATGGTGTATTTAGGCTTCCTGATAGGCCTCCAAGGGACCACAAGCTTCTTTATTCCTTAAAAGTATACCTTGTTGCTGTAATTGAAGCCGTTTTGTTGCTGTAATTTCTCCCTAATATTACAGTTCTAGTCAAGTGTTCTTTCCCTCTGGAGGCATCAATTATTATGGGTTTTGAATAGGCCTCCCTTCAGTACACATACTTTCACTCCCAATGCCAAAATCGGGTCACTGCAATTCTCTTCCCTAATAAAACATGGTCCCGTGTTTCTTCTTTCAAATCCGGTGTATAACATGTGTACTGGCGACTAATTCCACTTCTTACCACCCTACTTAAAACTCCTGTCATATTTAAGAAAAACTAAAGAATACTACAGGTTTCATGGTATTTTCTACACTTTCTTAGTTTTCATTACGACATTGAATGTCCAAAGACTAGGGAGAAGTTTATAGGGTTTATGCAGGTACTGAACCCGTGTAGATGTAAGTTGGTGAGGGAGCAGGGGAACGAGCCGTAGTAGTGCACTTTGTGAAGGATGTTCAGCTGAAAAGAAGATGGCATGGGGTTCATCGGCTAACCCATGTGTGTGAACTGCAGGTTTTTCTGTAAGTTGTGGTATTTTGACACCTGGTGCCCACAACTCGATCGGCCTCAGTAGCGAGTCCTCACTGCTGTGTACCCTGTGCCTGTTTATGGATTAATCTGCGTGACGTCTCTGGGGATGGGGAGGAACAAGCTCTGTATCACAAACTGAGAACTGAAACGTGGGTTTGTCTCTCTCCTTTTATTGCACAGCCATGAGAAGCAGAAGCTGTTAAGCTCCAAATGTCACCTACAGACTCCCTTTAAATACATATATCAACTAAAGCTTCCCATTTGCAACCAAGCTAATACTCTGTTATTGGATTCTTCGTGCTTTATTACAATTATTTGTTTCAGAGTGTTCAAACCAAGCGCAGCTTTGCGTTTTTGTGAATGATTCCCCCGTGAAACCCTAAAGATGCTTAACTCAGATGGGTGTATGTAGTAGTTATCACTGTGCCATCTGCCCTAAAACTTGCACTTTTCATGAGATGCCACTGCTGGGACATCTGGCACTAAAAATATGTTTTCTGCATCATCTCACAATTGAGGAGGATGCCACGGCTGTTCAGCTCCACAGGAGATTTCTTGAAGCATCCTTCTGTTATCTAACAGCTTCTGCAGTGAAGCTATGGCACTAAACTGGCCAGGGGGGGAATTATGCTATTAATGGAAGGCTGTGTTTTTGCTTTATGGCTTGGATTGCTGTTAAAAGGGAGTGGCACTTGTGTGATGGATTGATTGAGCCAGTCTGTCTTATATTATATAAATCAATAGTTGGTGCGATAGGACTAAAATGACTATGTAATATACTGTAAGTCAGCTTCTATTATCCAAAAGCAAAAGAACTGCAAAATCAATGCACAGCCATATTTCTCAAAGTTCGGCATGTCTTACTGAACTGTTTCTGTATAGCTTGAACGTGCAATGTACTGGGATTTCCTTCTTAATTCACAGAATATTTTCCCCTTTAAAGATGCACATAAAGTACTGTGTCTTGAGACTGGCAGACCTATGAGTAGGTCATACAGTATGAGTATGAGTGTGTCCTACAGTATGAGTATGTCAGCGGCTCGGTGCTCCCTTGTGCTACACAATTTTTTCCACCCTTGGCAAAAGCCACCCTACGAGCCTGTGTGTTTTCTTGTAGGAGGTGGAGCTGTGCCGCATAAGCAGCCAGGAGAAGCTGGGGCTGACTGTCTGTTACAGAACCGATGACGAGGAGGACACGGGGATCTACGTCAGCGAGGTAAGGACATGGCGATGGGGAGGAGCATGGGGAGGTGCTCGTGGTGGAAGGCTGAACGTGCCAGGGAATGTAAGAGCAAGTGCTCTGAGACCAGAGTGCAGAAGTGTCGGCCATCAGCCAGCACGTGTCACTTTCAATTTGTTTAGATTATCAGTTTAAATTATATTCCCCAAGCAGTGTAATTATTACTAATGATCTTCTTTAATCTGAATGCTTTTAACTACAACATCATAGCTAGGGAAGTACAAAGCAGTCTGAGCATGGTCTGAATTTTGAAAGAAATCTGCCTTTATGTGGGAAATCAGGCAGAGTTTTTAAGGAGAAAAGCACATTTTCCACACCATGCTTGCATTCTCCCCCTGCCATAGCCTCGGTAATCGTAACAGTGGATAATCGTTATTTTATTATTTGTGGTTTTGTTACAGTTGTGGTATGCGCAGACATACCACAGGTGGGTGGAGAGAGTAGCTTGGGAGAAGAATACGTCAGAAAGACTAGTAATTTTTTTTTGCCATAAATTTTTTGCCAAAAAATAGAATACTGGATACTGAGGTGGGATGAACCCTCAGTTTTTCATCGGCTTCACCAGGAAAGAATGGCATCCAGCACATGTCACAGGGTGTTAGTGTTTCACAGGGTCGGTCCACAATACTTCCAGGCACACTAGCTCCCTTTGAGTCTCCAGCCATTTCAAAGAGGTTTGTTGTTCTGGATAAAGCAGAACTCTTGTGAATCCAGGCTCACTGGTGAGTCCAAGCTCACTGGTGATTGTCCTGCATGAACCGTGTTCCCAATTTGTAGCTTTTGTGACATGTTGAACCAAATTTGGACATTAGGAGAAGGTTCTTCGCTGGGAGGGTGGTCGATCACGGGAACAGGCTCCCCAGAGAAGTGGTCTGGATGATGCTTTTAGTCATCTGGTTTAGTTCTAGGTAGTCCTGTGAGGAGCAGGGAGTTGGACTTGATGGTCCTTATGGTGCCGTCCAACTTGAGATATACTATAATTCTAAATTCTGAGTGAAGCTCGTCGGCAGAGAGGATCGGTAGAGAGAATTCTCCTACATATCAGTAAATGGGGATGAAGACAAGATTGCTCATTCACAGGCCAGCAGCAATGTCAAAGAAGCTGAAAAGCACAGCCTTGGAACAAGAATGACGAATTAATATAAAACTACCCAAGAATAAGTCTTCCACCAGTTGTATAAGCGCTGCAGTTAAAGTTTGTTGGACCTTGTGAGGACAAAGAAAATGCAGGAATCTCTTAATACACTCCAGGATTATGTCTGAAATGTGCTGGTTTTCCTACATGGTAGAAATTTCTCAGACCTTTTTAAGTGAATGTAATTATATTGTCTTTTGTACTTGATTAAGCACTTCAGAATCATTTTTTTCTGTGACAATGCACAAGAAGAAAATAATATCTAACAGCTGTAGAGGATGTAACCTGCAAACCAAATGCTCAACTCAAATGTTTGGTTTGAAAAAATAGCTTATGGCATGACGAGGCAAAATAAATGATTTAAGATAACCATCAAGTGAAAGGTGATAGATCGAATTGCCCTGAAATGAACAGTAGGTCATTGCTCAGGGATGAGCTATAGTGACTTTGATAAACTGTTAATGGAGCCCTAAACATCTGTTTAGGTTAAACTAACTTAAAATTAACTGACTCAGACCAGGAACGATACACAGAACCTGCAAGTGATCTATACAATACAGATCCTTTGGGGTTTTTTGCTGTTTCCTTGCAAGCTGCAAAATTCCAGAGGAAGTAACGGATTGGTAACTGAGACAATCATTTGATAGTAAATGTTTCCATGAAAGAGAAGTAGACCTGCTTCTTTCCCAAAGACAAGGCCCATTTGTATAGAGATATCAACTGCAGCAGAACCACTTCAGTCCATAGTGAACTTCCAGAGCAGAGGGGCTCTGTCATTAATTCTTAGTGCTCTGACAGCTGAAGGTTAATGCCTGACGGTGCCATAGGAAAGTATTAATCTGAAAATCATATGCTCCCAACCCTTTCTTGTCTTTAGGCTTTTATCTGAAACAAGCTCGTACGATCATTTAGAGAACTATTGAGTTCATATGACTGTAAAGGAAACTTCAGATTGCCTCTGTACAAAGTAAAAATGCTACTTTTTCGAATTGTGCAGCTGTTACCATTTCCAATAAAAATCCTTCCATGTTCAGTTACTGGATATTGTCCTATGCAGGTTGATCCAAACAGCATTGCTGCCAGAGATGGCCGGATCCGTGAAGGAGATCGCATTTTGCAAGTATGTGACAATAGACTCTTCCTTAAACTCTTTCTTCAGACAAACACACAGTGCCCTCTTCTCTGTGGACTGTTAATGAGGGAAGGTAGTTCTCTTTGTTACTGTGATCGATGAGAAAATCCATGTCTGTCTGTTTTTTAACACAATAGCCGGGAGCCAGAGTGCGTGTACTGAAAAATGAGAATGACAAACTCGTTCTGGCTCATGCCCTTGTGTCCCATGTCTTTTTTTGCCACGTTTATTAGAAAATCTCATTTCCCCTATGTTCATCTCAGTGTCACATTCTAAACAGGGATCCTGCAGACATAAATATGAGTGTCAGAGACTTGCTGATCATTCAGCGATCGCATAAATTAGGGTAAAACTCACTAGTGCTGAGCATAGATGGTAAGAGTTTTCATACAAAAGATGTGCTGTTAGTGAAGGATGATCTTGAACGTACCTGAAGAGGGGATTCATTAGGCTTTTGTTAATATTTTCTTTCCTCCACCAATAAAACATCGCTTTTCTCAGTTCTTTTCTAATCCACCATCTTGGCTTTTTTTTTCCCCCTTTGTTTTTATTGATCCGCTCATTTAAGGAACTGCCCCGAAGACAGGTTTGTGTGATACAGCATAGCCCTGTGGGCGAGGGTGGCCGGCAGCTGGCTCCGGAGGGCGGGCAGTGTACCTGTACAGAGGGGGCAGTAGCTAGAATGGCAGTGGGTTTCCATTTTCCACTGGCAGGGAATAGTACTGTGTTTTTTGCACTAGTGACAAAATCACAAAATAGCTACCAAAAATCAGTAGACTGGAAAGTCTTTGCTGCATTGTGGCATTTTAGTTCTGGTTCCCGGTCGATTTCCCTTGTATTTTGACCTTTATTCACTAAAGCCCCAGAAGCAGTTCCTGGTGTGACAAGTCACTTTTCTGTAACCAGTTCCGTAACCCCTCTTCATTAATTTAGGCACGTGAGCTTTCAGGTTGTCGCAAGATCAGCCTGTTCCTTCCCTCCAATCTTTTCATTTCTGCAGGAAACGTCTTTGCTGAAACCTGTCGCTGTATCTCTTACCCTGGTGTCAGCTGTGGGAGTCTAGCTAACACAACAGGGTCTACGAGCTGGCTTACCAAAGTGGCCCATCTTTTGGAGAGGAAATAAGAAGTTACATTTTAATGTCAGGGCTCACTCAGGGACTGCTGGTTTATTCTCTGTGCGGTTGGGAATGTGAAAACGTTCACAGGACAGTGTTCCCCTCCAGAAGACATGGACGCTGTGGTGCGAGGGCAGTGAGCCCCTCGGTGGGACTTGGGGCGGCGGGGTGATGGGACCACATCATGGGGTGCGGCTAGGAGTGGAAAAGTCAGTGCACTGTCTTCTGCCTCTTTCTATAAAATACCTACTGAAGAAAGCAAGCAGGATATCATGGTATTTTAAACTCTCAAAAATCAGAAAAAAAACTTGTTTATTTGACCAAGTAGAAACAACTTTCATTCTTACTCTATGCATTTCAAAATGAGGAAATAGAGGGTAGATCCATTTTCTGCTCCTTTCCTTGCTTTCTGAAATTTCTGGGTGAAGTGGAGAGCCAACAGCAGTTCAGGCAAACGTTTTCCAGTTCCTAATGAAATTCGTTTCGATTGTGAGTAAAGACTCTGGGGGCAAGAGAAAAGCATAGGTAATTCTGCTGTCCTTTTGTAGACTGGAGCATTACTTTAATGTCAGTGCTGATATATAGCTATGAGTTTGATCATTAAAGTTAACACCCAGAGAGTTATGTGGGGTTTACTTTCATATCTGAAAACACATTGACCCTCTATCTACTCTTATTGATGAGATAACTCAGAGAAATAGAAGGTGACAGTGCCATTATGGGGGGATTTCGCTGAGGCTGGGAGAGAGCTGGATCCTTGAGTGGGGGCATTTTCTGTGGGCGGCGGATGGCATCAGTTAAGGCTATGGGGGAACACTCTGGTTTGTGTATTTCTCATGAAATTACAGCAGGTTTCCTCACGTTTTTGAAGCTGAAACTGTCCCCTTCTCATTCTCACAAACCTCACACCTCTCCTGTCACCTTCACAGTCGTCTTAAGCATCTGAGAACAGCCTCAGTACTTTACATCAAATGTTACAAAGTCAAGGGAAAGGTTTTATAAGGACAGTCTTAGCGAGACTTGCCTAAACTTCTGCTATTTTGAGCTGTGAACCTCCAGGCTGACAAGTGCTGTCCGTGGGGGTGAGATGCCGTGGGGCAGGCTGAAGTGCTGCTTGTCCCCCGTGATGGTGCAGCTGGTGTGGGGTGGGCACCTCCAGGCTGTGCGGGGCCAGCAGGGCCACCGCCTCCGGGGTCAGAGAGGGGCAGTTGCGTGGCTGATAGGAATCGCTGGAGCAGCCACCGCGGCTGGGGGTGTTTTGCACAAGCCGGAGATCCGCTCCTGGGCCTCTGTGGCTGCATCTCTGCTTTTCAGGTTAGGGCAGTTCTGCGTTACCAAATGGTTGTCTGGTCTCCTGCAGACCACAGCTATCCTGCATGTAAGGTTTGAAGGGTCTCAGACATTTCACTCATTGCCAGTTAGGTGGTCAGGGTACACTGGGGTTTTCTTTAATCTGAATTAAAGCTGTGTTTTTGAGTCAGGACTTTCAGGCCAAACATACGTGCAGAAATGCAACTTTCTCTTTACTTTTCAACCAGGAAGTTTCTGCTACTTTGAAATCAAACCTTACAAGATTTTATTTCCCCCAAATATTCAGATCCTGTCTTCCAGTTTTGTTTTCACCCATTTTCAAATAGACCAAGTATTTTTTTTTGTTGCCATAATGAGAATAATCCACTTCTTGTGCTGTGAATTGGACAAAAACAAATACGTATGGAAAATAAGATTTCTATTTGATTCCCTCAATAAAGGGTTTTGGACAATGCAAAATGTGTTTGTTACCACGTAGTCATGGACGTGGCTGTTTTAATGAGGTGACAGAATAGGAGAAAGGTGTCGAGAAAAGCACGTTGTTATCGGAGAACCACTTTTATTTTGATTATCCCCTTGTAAGGGGGATACATATGTTTTGTGTGGTTCTGGGTACTAAGCTGTCCACGCAAATATAAAATGATTAAATGGAGCAGCAATAAGCAGTGGCCTGTAAGTATTGCCTGGTGAGAGATAATACTGTAGATCTCTAATTGGCTCTCTACCAGCATACATTGTGACTGATTTCAGCTGTAGCATTACCAGTCTTGCTTCCACCAGCACTATTATCTCAGAGTGACACTTCCATTACTCTGAACGGAGAAAGATGAACGTCACCTGTCAGGGGCTGGTTAATTGTGTTGCTAGATGTATGTTACCAGGGCGCAGGTTGGACATTTATGAACATAACTGCTTCCTCTGATGTCCGCCATCCTTCAACGATCGATACAGCTCTTACAGTAAGCGCATAATTGAGTGAAGGCACTTACCACTGAGGGGCTGAAGATGAGCCCGTTGCGCGAGTTTCATTGTCCATACATTCAGCACAAATGAGCTGATATCTGCCCTTTATTGTGTGTTGCTTTGTGGAAATAGAAACTAATGTGCCACTTTCATTTGTTTTCTAGATAAATGGCCAAGATGTCCAGAATCGGGAAGAGGCAGTGGCATTGCTCTCCAGCGAAGAATGCAAGAAAATCGTGTTGCTGGTCGCAAGACCGGAGATGCAGGTTAGACTAAATAGATACACAGAGCCAGAACCTGGGTTATACTGTACATTGACTGTCACTGTAAGTAATGAACTGCTGAGAAATAGGAATGCCAAAGTTCCTGACAAAAGGAGGAGAGAGATAATTTAGAGCTTTGCCCCCGTTTAGCCAAAAGAGAAAATAACATGATATTACTAGGGCTTGTTCTCTCAAAACTAGGCAATTCCTTTTCAGCAGACAGAGTAAGCAGGTATACAAATAAAGCTGACAGCACTAATATGATATTAGTAACATATGAAGTAGAACTTGAAGACTATGTATTACTTGTTAGATGACTCTTATTTGTTCTGGGGATAAATTTCCCATACTTACCTCAGTCGTTTATATGAACTTACACAAAGCTGTAGTTGGTCATTGGTGATGGCTCTTTTCATCCTATGTGCTTATAAGCCGGCATTTAAATTGTTCATTTATGTACCAGTTATGGGACTTTCACTACAATACCATTCAGCAAACCTGGATCTAATTGTTTTCAAAGCACCCTGGTCACAAAAACCTGTTTGTACATTGCGAATTGTACCTTGGGAGATGCATTTTCACAAGCTTTTAGAAATGTTTCTATGATTTTAAAAATAAAATTATGTCAATGCCAAGAATCTTGCCATGCCAAGAATTTTTTATGTCATCTGCAGAGGGCAGATGTTAGGTTGATCATCAGAATAAAGGAGAGGTAGAGTGGAAGAAGAGTACTGTTTGTACTTCCCTTTATATTCTGTTTATAGGCTATTGCAAAGCAAAAAGACTTTATATTGTCACTGTTCTCTCCATCTGCCAACAATGCAGAGTTGGTTATGTTGCCATTTGTCTCTCATGCTATTGATCTGATATTCTCAGTCTCACTAGCTGCATACTTTGTATAAATTAAATTGAGTAAGTGTAATTCAGTGCCACTTGGAATCTCTACTTGAATATGGTAGTTATAAAAGATTCACAATTTCAGCATTCATTTCCTTTGTTTTTCAAACAATTCCCATAAAACTGGTGACATAGTACAGCAAAAAAAGCTATGCATCACTTTATATTGCAAAATTGTAGCCTTCACTGGAAGTTGCAGAGGTTTTGAAAGAGTTGTTTCAATATTATTCTTACTATTTTTCACTAAGATTTTGTTTTTCAGTAGGGAACAGAAACCCACCCACTTATAAAATATATGCCCAGGGGAAGTTCATTCTCTGTATTTGTCTACACTGGTCAACATGAAAAAGTTACATCAATATGAGATAAGGAATTACTTAGCTGTACCAATTTTGTTTCCCATATGGATGCTCCTTTCAAATTATAAAAGTGTGTTTTGGTTTGGATTTGGGGCTTTGGTGTTGGGTTTTTTTGTTTAATTTATGTGTTTTAAAAACATATTCATACAAAACGGAAGAAAAAGTAGTATGTCATAAATCAGGCTGTCCACAAACTGATTTCTGCTAGTTGTGTTGCTTTGACTCTGGTAAAAGACAGCAGGATTAAACAGGCTTTTATTTCTATATAGAATACGGTAACAGTAGTATTGCAATCTTGAAGGGTATCTGCTGAGCGCATTCATTAGTAACAGGGAAGAAAACCTTCTCTGACCATTTATTTGCACAGTGAATACCGATGAATAATTAAGTTTTAAAACAGAGCACCGGAGGAGCGCACAGCCTGTTTAATATCTAAACAAATGGCATAGGCATGTGCATTCACATGTGTGTATGTGCACACAATGTATGTAGTGCGCATGTATACTAAGCCGTATATTATTTTTATTCTAAAAGCTGTAACGTAACATAAGCATTCTCATTAGTTAGGTACTGGGTCTGCCACAATCAAAGCAGCAGATTTGCCCAGGTGAGATTCATCTTTCATCCTCCAGATATGTTAATCTCTGCAATTTCTTCAAATGAGGGAAATTCAACTGTGTCCTTTATGGTAGAGGAAGGCTGTGTTCATGCTTTCCTTGGGGAAAAAAGCAAACAAGACAAGTAAACAAAACTAGTGGCCAGTACCAGATGTTTCAGAGAATGGTTTGAAAGTCCCGTTAAGGAGAAACATAAAAATTACATGTTCTCAAGAAAAAAGCCTCCTTCTAATCGCAAGCTGTTAGAGGCTGGCTTTGCCAAGGAAAATGGTGAAGTGCTTATGTTCTTTATAAAAGGAAAGAGTTCGCTGGCGTGGGCAAAACCCCATCAGAGTTTGTGAAGGAAACGGTAGTTTCCTGCCAGTATTCAGCTAGAAGTACTACACAGCATCAATCACTCCTTGTGTAGCTTTGAACTACTGCTTGCTGGTTTTGTGTAACTTTTCTGACTGGCATCTGTGGCCAGAGCTCTCCTGGCTTTGATGCCGTGGTACTTCTGCTGTAGGTGTTGGCCCGTGTCACATTGCTCTTGCTGTCTCAGGACATGAATAGTTGGTACTCTTGTAATTGTCCGATGCTGAGACTTTTAGGATCTTTTTGTCACCTTCTTCCTCTGGTTCCTTCACCAGCGACAAAACAGTAAGTGTTTCCTTCTGCTATGGTCCCATCGTTATAGCCAGGAGTGTCACTGACCTTTTCAACACAGTGTGCCATCTGGCAAGGGACTACAAATACAAATGGGTGTGTGCCGTGTGCACAGTGAACAACACGGGAAGAGTAGCGTTTTTGGCCAGGAGTGCCTGTTTTATCAGTTTAGAAAGGTGTGAAGGGTGCAAAGTGGGTGCGGGGAGAGGATATACTCACCTGACAGAAAACGCAGCATTCCCTCCTGTCCTTTTGCAACACTGTCTTCACCAAATGTCAAAGTATTATTTTACACTTGGGGAAAAAACCAAACAAATGAATAAGCCTTGCTTCCAGACACACCGCGAGAACAAAAATAGCGGCCCTTCAAGTCACCGCATCTTTCTGTCACCCTCCTCTGTTTGTTTGTTTACCTGGAAGATCAATGGGAAAACGGTGACAGAAATGCAACATAAGGGTTCTATTGAGGTGGCAGCAGCAGGGCACAGCGCTGGGGCGGAGGTTGTTAGAGGAAAGAGCCCGGTTGCCTCCTGGCCCTATTAGTAGCATTGCCGCTCTTTCAGCGCGGGGGCTCTCGGCGGTAATGAACATGACAGCTTCAGGATTATGCGCTGCGCCTTTCATACCTTTTGAAAGGAAATAATGTCTGTGCTGTGCAGTCTCCTTCATTATGAGAGAAAATCAGTCATACTGTTTCAAGAAAGGATAAAAGGCATAAGAGTCCCATTTTTTTTATCCTTCTTTTTCTTCTTCTCTTTTTGAGACGCGAACTCCTACCGCCTGACTTTCTGAAGAGAATCATTAGGATAAAATGAACTAGTCAAGCATTGCCATTTGGGTTTACCCTGTTTTAGCATGTGTACTTGCTAACATAATATAATGTACTAATGTATTCTTTGCAGCTGGAAGAAGGGTGGCTGGATGATGAAAGGAATGAATTCTTAGAGGAGTTAAACTTGGAAATGTTGGAAGAGCAGCATAATGAAGCGATGCAGTACACAGCCAATGAGGTGGAGCAGGTAGGACTGCTACTGAAAGTATCATTTGAAATTTTGCTAGGTATACTTTTTTATTAATAGAGAATGAAATGGTACACTGTAAAAAGGAACAAAAGGCTTTGCTAGAATTCTGTCTTTAAAATGCTGTGAACTCCGGCATGATGTAGGTAAGGAAAAGGAGAACAATAGATGCTTAGGCCCAGTATAACAAGTTAGCAAACAATTTAGGAGGCTGTGGTAAGAGCAGATTCCCCATTTTCTCTGAACTCCCAGAATAATATTGCTTTCGTTCTTTAATTCTGAAGTGTTTGGGGTTTATGTTGTTATATTTTATGTCAAGGGTTTTTTTAATGAATTGTATCAGTGCAGCACCTAGAGCTCTGAGCTGGGATAGGTGCCCCTCTTGCTGTAGGCATGCAAGGTATGAGCCAGCCCTTGCACCAGAGAGTTTGCAAAACAAGATGGAAGAGGTCTTTAAAATAAACAACAGGTGTTTTGCTAATACAAGTGTATTTTTCTTATACCGACAGCGCACAGCTTGGCGTTTGTTTTGTTAATGGAGACAAATAAGCATATTGTTAGCATAGTCTCAGCTTGCTGCTATCCTGACTTTTACCTGCCCATATGTGCTGTAAGCGGTGTGATTGTGGCAAAGATGCATGTGCACCCCCAGCCATACAGTTTCATCAAGAGATGGGTCTTCTCAGTTGTACTTTATTGTGGAAGGCGTAAGTGACCTTATGCACTCCTAGATCAGATGATCTGTCAGCACGCACACCTGTGTAGAGCCAAGGAAATAAAATCCAGCTTCATCTCCTGGCTTCTGCATATATGCAGCTGGGGAGAAACTGTTTTTCCACCCACAGAAATTTTACAATTTTTTCCCCATTCTGAATTGCTCGAAAGCAGAGCCTGAGGCATTTTTCTTTGAAGTAAAGACTGTGAGAAAGACTGTGAAAGCCTTCCTTCTTCTGGAAACCACGGAGCTTATTTGGCTAATAGGAGACCTGCCTTCAAATACCGCACCGCCTGGTCCACATTGGGAGCTTGAACATGCATCTAGCCTGTTTCCTCCTCACCTCCCCTCCAGCTTTGACGCTGGGCTATTGACTAGGTGATAGCTCCTATTAAAGCTATTCACCGTACATAAATTAAATATTCATTGGGACAGAGACACTGACAGAATAATTAAGTCAATTATCTGGAATATGATAGATCAGATTACAAATCCTTGATCTTATAAGCATTTAATTATTTACACAAAGTGGAATAACTCCAGGGTCAGAGGTGAAGGGAGCCTTGCAGCAGGATTTACAGTGGCCTTTTAGTTATGACCCTCTTTTCCAGGTGGTGATCCAAGCCTCAGTTTCCCAAGTTAAATTTGCTAACTACTGCACTGCTAGCTACTTTGAACTGATATTTGGCATCTTGTTTATTTTTTTAACCACAAATTTTGTCTTGGATAGCAAAAGATTTCCTGTCAGAAACAACACTTGTTCCTTGCAAAACAATTTCCTTTGCACAATGACATTTTCACACAAACCACCACTTCTGGGGGAAATTCTTGAGCAGGACTACCTACAAACCCCTACTAGCCCCTCACACAACGTGGTGGGGCCTCTGAAATCACTTCACAGTTGTGACCTTCCACACCCAAGGTCTTGTCAAGCTTTGGCTTTTTCACTGAATTTGGGTTGCGGATAGTGTTAATTATTGAACAGTGGTATTCTGTGAAGTGGTTTCACAGAAGCCATTGAGATTGTTTATTCCCCATTGGGATTTTATACTAAGGATTTTTTTTTTCCCTATTGAGAGTTTATATTACCATAACAGAGAGCTACACTTGAAAAAATTATGGTCGCTTGTGCTCTGTCAGTGTCTGACATTGGGTTGCTTGAAGTAATTCTAGGACAGCCAGACATTTCTTTGCCCTTCTGATGAGTAATCGAATCAACCAAATGCAGCTTAGTGTGTAATGGGGCGTCAGTAATTTGTGACAGCTGCTGTCTCTCTAGACTCTATGTAGTGACTCGGCAAGTCGGAAAACCGGTTCTTTACTCCTTGTTAGGCTGGGAAACCTAGCAGTTTCCTGAGGTGAATCTCATAATCCATCGGAGCAATGAAACCGCTCTCACTGCAGCTGCCAGTGGCCAAGCTGAGTATCTTCAAGCTCCCCGGCTGGCTGTGGAGATGTCACTCCAATGCCAGCCTTAATTTTTGTGAACCAAAACACAGTCCTCTGGCTTCATAATCATCTGTCTTGAATAATCATGAATGTTGTGAGCTGCAGGAATGAGTACACATTATAGCAGAATATCTTTCCAAACACGAGTCTGTTTTACAGAATGCCGTTTTAACATTTAGTATGAGCTGTCACAGAAAAATCTGGTACAGTTTGCAAAAGAAGAATTAAGTAGACAGTCATGTCTTTTCTGTATGTTTTTGAGCTAAATTACAGAATTTAATCAAGAATTGTGTCTTCTCTGTATAGAATAGTCCAATAAACCTCGAGGAAAGATGTAATTCTCCATTTTTTATAACACATTGTATTCCTTCCCCTTTACAACATCGCGGTTCATTGTGCAGCAGAGATAACTTTCAGAAGAATACCATCCATTTGCCATGCATAAATTCTTATCGGTATCACGGAATATATCAAAACCTATTAAGAAGAGAAAGAATTGGATAAAAAAATTCATTGGTGTTCATTCAAAGCTGAAATGCAGTGAAAATATCTGGGGGAAATTCTTTTTTGCGAGAGGCCTGTTTTAAAAAAACAGCATTGTTTGCAGAAGAGCATTTTCCCTTTTAGTGCACCACTGAAATCAATCCCAGTCTTCCCTCGTGGCTGGAGTACCTCGTGGTTAGCCTGCCACTGGAGACTCCTCTCACTGGGGTCAGTCTCCCTCTCACTGCCAGAGACTGACCGGAGTGCCCAGCAGCTACATTTATTAAAACCTTCGGCTGAATCTCACTGCCTTCAAATTTTAGTAGCAACCTGGATTTTAAGTCCCAGTATACATTGTAAGTTGTAAAAAGAGAATAGAACAGTGCCTGAATTCCTGCAAGATTAGCCGTTTTATAGCCATGAGTGCTTGCTGGAGCTGAAATGCAGACTCTTTTGAGGTTCGTTTATTGCTTGATTGTACGCACCGCCAGGTTTGCCTTCTCATTATCTGAGTTCTCACTGCAAAGATGAGGCCTAAGGAGCCCTTTGGTATTTCAAACAGAAGTAATTGTAACAGAGATTGACAATGTACATTTGAAAACAAACACTTTGTTTGGAATAAATAATAGATAACACTGACAAAAGCAACACTGACAATTGGAGACTATCTCTTGTTTTTCAGAAGGGACTTAACCTGGAATTAGGCTTGCTACCTTTCAAAATAAAATTAAAATAATCTCATATTGTACAAGACTGCTCAGTCTGCACGTTTAGGAGCCCTGGCAAGCATGACAAGTCCAGGACAGAAATGCCAGGGGCTAACTTACTTGAGTCACAGTGGATTTTTTTTAAAAAAACCATGCAGTACAATAAATATCTCTATTGCTTTCCATTTTCTTAATTGAACTAGCTGCAAGTATCCACATCCTAGGGAAGGATTTAACATAATATGGATGTCTGCTTTAGGTTGAGAAGAATCTGATTGTACAGGCACTTGGTTCTTCCTGACAGGGAGGGGAACCCAAAGTGACTACCTGACATTCAGGTGCCTGTACTATAGACACTTACATTTGGTGAAATCAATCCCACCCATCTGATTTCTGTTACACTGGAAAGATGGGGTCTGCTTTGTTTACATCTTTTGTGTGTGTGTTAATTATAGATAGTGTAACTTGAGTAGATGGCAGTGTATTATATTCACTCAGTCTAAATCAAGTGGAAGTTGAAGGAGCAAAGTTCAAATTGTTGATAAAAGTGGTGTGGAAAACAAGAGTCATTAGTTCTGAAAGTGTTGATTGCGTGGGCCCGAACTGTAAAGTCTGTTTCAACACCTGTACAAATGGATACATTAAGGGATTTTTCAGAAGTGCTCAAATATATGCTTTGGTGGTGTGGCACGATGCTGGAGACATCAGACGAAGCATCATGGAGCTCAGCTCCTGTAAGCTGTATAACTGTTCTAACACAGTACGGCTAAGCCCTCTTTAGGGGGTAAGATGAGTTTAGTCATACGGATGCAAGTTGCGCTACGTCGCTCACTCTCAGGGTCAGCGAGCAGATCCTGGCCTTCCTCATTTGCTAGTGTGGATGGACCCCTGGGGCAGGCACCCAAATTGTTGGCTGTTCTGCAGCACGGCCCCCCCAGTGTCTGGGGGAGCTGTTCTCCCTCGTGTCAGTAATTAACTATTTTCCAGAGCAGTGAGAAGCATGGGTTACACAGTCCGGTGGCCAGAGTGCAGTGTAGGTGACCCAGACTGGGGTCACTTCTCTGCTGAAAGGTTTGGAGGCAGAGGAGGTGACCAGAAGCTGGAGCTGGAGCAGCTCCAAAGCGGGCGAGAGAAGGGACCAGAATAGCTTATGTAGCAGCACTCACCTGGAGGAGGTAAACTAGAAAAATATGAAATTAAACCTAAATCCCCAGCATTCCCGGTGAATGCCCTGACCACTTTGATGATTGGGGTGCTCTTCTTTCTAGTTACTCTTGGTTTTCATGAAGATTCTGTAGACATTGGGGTTTTTCTCTGTGTAAAATATGACATTTTTGAACTCTTAAAAAACAGGTGATGTTGGAAGACTTTGCATTCCTCCAACTACTCCTAAAAATGGAACTAAGATGTTGCAGCCACTTTGGAAAAATATGACAAGAGCCTGTCATGGTTTAACCCCAGCCAGCCACTGAGCACCACGCAGCCACTCGCTCACCCCCCCCGGGTGGGATTGGGGAGAGAATCAGAAGGGTAAAAGTGAGAAAACTCGTGGGTTGAGATAAAAACAGTTTAATAGGGAAAGCAAAAGCCGCACACGCAAGCAAAGCAAAACAAGGAATTCATTCACTACTTCCCATGGGCAGGCAGGTGTTCAGCCATCTCCAGGAAAGCAGGGCTCCATCACGCGTAACGGTTACTTGGGAAGACAAACGCCATCACTCCGAACGTCCACCCCTTCTTCTTCTTCGCCCAGCCTTATATGCTGAGCATGATGTCATATGGTATGGAATAGCCCATTGGCCAGCTGGGCCAGCCGTCCCGGCCACGCTCCCTCCCAGCCCCCTGCGCACCTGGCAGGGCACAGGAAAATGAAAAATCCTTGACTAGCGTAAACATTACTTAGCAACAACTAAAACATCAGTGTGTTATCAACATTATTCTCATACTACATCCAAAACACAGCACTACACCAGTTAATAGGAAGAAAATCAACTCCATCCCAGCCAAAACCAGGACAGAGCCATAATAAAAAATCTTCCAATATAATTTATACACCTTCACAGCAATGCATAAGCTGAGGAAAGAAAGAATAAGTGATAATTATAGAACATTTCTTCAATAGTTAGTTGTCTAGAGTGTTATTGGTACTACTCTTCATATTGCTTTTTCCTGTGACAAGAAGATATCCTTGTTTTTCAAGCAGATAAGTAGAAAGATCTGAGAGGATCTCAGATTGGGAAAATACATACCACTGAATTTTTAAAACTTGCAGAATTTTCATGAAAGTCTGCCTTTGTCCCTTGCAGTTTCAAAATCTATTTTCTAGAAAATTTTGACCTTACAGCATCAAGAAACACTGAACCTTTGCATGATCCCTTGAATAACACTGAATACATTCTGTCCCATGATGTTTAAATTCAAGGGGAGATTTTCTCCCCATTTGGGGAGAGTGAGTGATAGTAATTGGCACATCGCTGGTGTGGCTGCCAAAGCTGCATGAGAATTATACATTTATTGTGCATTTTGTTATCAGCTGCACGTTGTATGTGCAAAGGGATGAGTGTAAAAGGTATGCTATGATTTTGCAAGTCTTGCCTGACAACAAATTCCTAAAACATCTTTTCAGAAATTTTTAACTGGTCTGTCAGAGACACTGAATTCTCCTGGTGTTGTGTTTCTTTCAGTATTTATTTTATTCCACTATTATGTTACATTTGGAGGGTGGAGGTCTTTTTTGTTTTTCTGAGACTAGGCCGTTATTTTTTCCTAACAATTGAAGAAAGGAAACCAGTTGAAGGGTGTGTGATCGTGACGTGTACATGAAGAGAGGAGAACGAATGAGATAGGAGACACATGTTCATCCTGGTTTACTGTCTGTCAAAGTAGAGAAAAAGGGAATTATGACGGTGGCCTCTTTGAGTTTCTTTCGTTTCACCAGGTACACTACCGTTTTTCTTTCTCTCTTGATTATTACTACAATTATCCATAATTATGCAATTATACCTCCTAAAAGAGAAACGGCATTTGGTTGGTACTATGTACACTTAGATATTTGGTGAACAGGCCGTATAAATTGCACTCTGTGTGATTGCTCTGTAAGGGGAATAGGGGGGAAATTCTTTGCTTATCCAGTTTGAAAAATAAAAAGTGTCTGTCTCTTCAGAGAGGTATTATCTCACATTCTTTGCAAATATAAATAGGTTGAGAATATAAATAGGTTAGGTACAATGAGTGGAGTGTGAATTAAAAACCAACAGCCTAAAAGCTTGACATTATGCCCATGGTGAGTACTCAGTGTTGTTCTACACTTAATGGTAAAAGGCTGTTTTTATTTCTAAGGAACATAAACTCTAACTAGGGAACAAAAATGGTCTCCGGGGATGCAACGGAGAGAGGCCTACTTGAGCGAAATCCTAGAATTCAAAATGAACAGTCCTTCAGAAAAAAGACTACTGAAAACAAGAAGTGTGACAGAGGGCCATGGAGGGTGTAGTGGAACAGGCTAGCCCTCCACAGGCGTCAACCCTGCCCATCTCCGTGGAGCAAACAAGGAGTTCACTGGTTAAAAAAAAAAAAGCCCCACTGATAAAAGTAGTCTTTTTGCACCCTCTTAGATTCTATTAGTCATTGTGTGATTGGCTGCTTGTTCTATTTTTTTTAAGTGATACCAGTCCTGAAGCTTTTTCCCAAGTTTGAGAAAATTTCAGCTCCACCAGTCTCTGGCCATAATCCAGAATCAAAAACAGTGCACCATCTGGTGATCATTATCTTTAAGCAGTGCAAAGAGATGGCTTAGCTAGAGAGAGAAATATTTCTTTCCGGACTTTAGAAGATATGTCACTAATGCTGTAATTCATCTACTTCACTCGATATGGCCACCACAGCATGACTCTCAGAAATGTTTAAAAGCTATGAGCGATAGGACTGCTATTTAGTGATCTGTTTTAATTCGGCTTAAATCAGATCCCAGCTGTTTAAGCAAAACATAGCTGGAAAATATTCTCATGTAATATGGTCTGCATTTGATAATAATTTTGGTTTGCTCATTTTTTTAGCCAAAGAAACATGAAGAGGAGGATGGCACTACAGACACTGCAACCTCATCATCCAACAATCATGAGAAGGACAGTGGGGTGGGGCCTACAGATGAAAGTCTGCGTAATGACGAGAGCTCGGAGCAAGAAAATGCACCTGAGGAGCAGAACAGCGCTACCCTGCAGAGCAAACGGGAGCTGGGCCACAGCCAAGATACGTTAGGAAGTGTTGAGCTCCAGTGCAATGAAAGCTTTGTGTCTGGGGAATACATTGAGTCTGATTTCATAGGAAACCCAGAGGAGGAATGTGAAAGGTTTCGGCAGCTGTTGGAACTGAAGTGCAAGATTCGAAACCACGGGGAGTACGACCTGTATTACTCGAGCAGCACAATAGAGTGCAACAGAAGAGAGCAAGATGGAGTGGAGCATGAACTGCAGCTACTCAATGAGGAACTGAGGAACATTGAACTCGAATGCCAGAATATTATGCAAGCTCACCGGCTCCAAAAGGTGAGGGATCAGTACGGAGACATTTGGGCTTTACATGACGAAGGGTTCAGGAATTATAACACCAGCATAGATGTACAAAGAGGCAAACTGGATGACATCATGGAGCACCCTGAGAAGTCCGACAAGGACAGCTCCAGCGCCTACAACACGGCCGAAAGTTGCAGGAGCACTCCGCTGACTGTGGAGCGATCCCCCGATAACTCTCTCCAGAGGATGATCAGCATAACCAACAGGAAAAACCTGAGGAGCACAATCGTGGCTAATCAGTCATCCTCAGGACAAAGCCACAGGGAGACAACCTCAGCCAAAACCAAACCCACTGAGCAAAACAGTGCTGCTGAGGACGCAGTGCTGGCATCAGAAAGTGGCAAATTCACAGACCAGGAAAAGCAGAGCAGTGAGCACATTCCCTACCTGTCTCCATATCACAGCTCTTCTTACAGGTACGGGAATATACCTGCTCATGCGAAGCATTATCAAAGTTATATGCAACTGATCCAGCAGAAGTCTGCTGTGGAGTACGCCCAAAGCCAGCTCAGCCTGGTGAGTATGTGCAAAGACTCGCAGAAGTGTGCAGAGCCCAAGATGGAATGGAAAGTGAAAATAAGGAGTGATGGGACGAGGTACATCACAAAGAGACCGGTGCGAGACAGAATCCTGAAGGAACGTGCCTTAAAAATTAAAGAGGAGCGCAGTGGGATGACGACAGATGATGATACGATGAGTGAGATGAAGATGGGTCGCTACTGGAGCAAAGAAGAGCGGAAGCAGCATTTGGTGCGAGCTAAGGAGCAGAGGAGGCGGCGGGAGTTCATGATGAGGAGCAGGCTGGAGTGTCTTAAGGAAAGCCCGCAGAGTGGCAGCGAGGGCAAAAAGGAAATTAACATTATTGAACTGAGTCACAAAAAGATGATGAAAAAGAGAAACAAGAAAATCTTGGACAACTGGATGACAATCCAAGAACTGATGACACATGGTGCTAAATCTCCAGATGGCACAAGAGTGCACAATGCCTTTTTATCAGTTACTACTGTATGAACGCAACTTCTTTCAGAGAGTGTACTACCAGTTTAGGTAGAGTACGATTGCCTCGTTCAATGTGGCATTTTTATATATTTTGTGACTGTTTATAGTTTGACCTTTTTTGTAAGCAAAATTACCTGGTAATTTTTCATTTGTTTTTCATATAACGGTACCTTCTCTATCTGGCAGTCTGTCTTTATCCTGCAATATATTCATATTATTCATTTGTAGAAAAAAAAAAGAAAAAGAAAAGCAAAACAAAAAAGTGGAGAAGCCGATGAATTTCTTAACCTAAT